GCATTTTAGCTGTAGAGGGCAGTGTCACTGGCCCTCATATGTGGGATCCGAACCGGGGCCCTCTGGCATCCCAAGCCAGCTCTTAACCAATGCGCCACTTGGCCGGCCCCCAACCGATTACTTTGTAGCTCCTATCAGGTGACCCCCAGCCAGGCACAGGCAATGGCTGACCTGGGGCTACACCAGAGCCCCTCCCATGAAGCCCCAGAACCAACACACCTGGTGGTCAGCTTTACACTACACCAGAGCACCACCCAAATAGCTCCACAAGTGACACACACAAAGGGTAGACTTGGCAGGCACCAGAGTCCTACTACAGCAAATACCACTGTGGGATCACCCCCATACTAGAGCTCATCCACTATAGTCATGGCCAGTCCTCACAACCAGTCAGCCTGAGGATCACTGACAAGCCAACAGCAATCAAAGCTCAATTACAACAGAAGTGCACACAAAACCCACACAATGGACACGCCTGGAGCACCTGGCTCAGGTGAGCTGGGAGTCTGCAACACTGGGCAGGACACCTACTACATAAGGATACCAAGCCAAGACTGGAAGATGTAACAGATCTACCTAATACATAGAAACACACACAGGGAGGCAGCCAAAATGAGGAAACAATGAAACATATTCCAAATAGAAGAACGGGACACAACTCCAGAAAAAAAACTAAACAAAATGGAGATGAGCAATCTACCAAATACAGAGTTCAAAACACTGGTTATAAGGATGCTCAATGAACTTAGGGGAAGAACAGATTAACTCAGTGAGAACTTACACAAAAAGATAGAAACCATAAAAAAGAACCAGTCAAAAATGAATACAAAACTGAAATAAAGAATACATTAGATGGAATCAACAGCAGATTAGGTAAAACAGAGAATCAAATCAGTGACCTGGAAGCAAGATAGTAGAAAACACACAATCAGAACAGCAAAAAGAAAAAAGAATTTTTAAAAATGAGGATAGTTTAAGAGACTTCTAGGATAACTTCAAGCATAACAACATGCACATCATAAGGGTACCAGAAGAAGAGAGCGAGCAAGAGATTGAAAACCTATTTGAAGAAATATTGACTGAAAACTTCCCTAACCAGGCAAAGGAAATAGACATACAAGTCCAGGAAGTGCAGAGTCCTAAACAGGATGAACCCAAAGATGCCCACACCAAGACACGTCATAATTAAAATCCCAAATGTTAAAAACAAAGAGAGAATCTTAGAAGTAGCAAGAGAAAAGCAGTTAGTTACCTACAAGGGGACTCCCATAAATAAGACTGTCAGCTGATTTCTCAATGGAAACTTTGCAGGCCAGAAGGGATTTGCACAAAATATTCAAAGTGATAAAGAGCAAGAACCTACAACCAAGATTACTCTACCCAGCAACACTAACATTTAGAATTGAAGGACAGTTAAAGAACTTCCCAGACAAGAATAATCTAAAGGAGTTTACCACCACCAAACCAGTATTACAAGAAATGTGAAAGGGACTTCTTTAAGAAGAAGAAAAAAAAAAAGAATAACAAAACGGGAATAACAACATACCTATCGATAATTACTTTTAAGGTACATGGATTAAATGCTCCAATCAAAACACATAGGGTGGTTGAATGGAGAAGAAAATAAGAGCCTTACTTATGCTGCCTACAACAGACCCACTTCAGGTAAAAAAAATACACACAGACTAAAGAAGGAAAAAGCTATTTCATGCAACTGAAAATAAAAATATAGCTGGAGGGCCGGCAGAGTGGCCTATTGGTTAGGAGTTGGCTTGGGACGCCAGCTCTGAGCAGCAGGGCCCTGGTTCAGATCCCACATAGAGGGCCCGTGATGCTGCACACTCTATAGCTAAGATGGTGAACAACAGCTTGACCTGGAGCTGGGCTGTCGTGAGTCGCCGGTGACGGCATAGACTGCGGTGGGGCTGGCCGGCAGTGGGTGTGAGCTTTTGTGAGCTGCCGTGAGCCGCTGTGAGTGGCCGTTCAATGTCCGGCGAGCGACTGCCTCACCCGGGAAGAGCGCAATGATAATACCAACATGGGACAGTGAAGCGATGTCCTCCACAACTAGACTGAAGAACAAAAGGACAGCAACATGTCTGTTCCCCTTCCCCAATTCCCCAACGCTGTTCCCCTCCCCCAATGCCCCAATTTTAAAAAAAGAAAAAGAAAATATAGCTGGAGTAGCAATACTTATATCAGATAAAATAGACTTTAAAACAAAGGTTATAACAAGAGACAAAGAAGGACATTTCATATACAGTAGTCAAGATATGGAAGCAACCTAAATGTCCATTGATAGACAATTGGATAAAGAAGAAGTGGTACGTATATATATATAATGGAATATTACTTGGCCATTAAAAAGAATTAAATATTACCATTTGCAATAACATGGATGGACCTAGAGGGTATTATGCTGAGTGAAATAAGTCAGACACAGATAGACAAATACCATATGATTTCACTTATATGTGGAACAATCAAAACAGAAACAAACTCATAGATACAGAGAACAAACTGATGGTTGCTGATGGGAGTGGGGTTAGGGTGCTGGGTGAAAAACGTAAAGGGATTAAGAAGTCAAATTGGTAGTTACAAAATAATCACAGGGGTGTAAAGTACAGCATAAGAAATACAGTCAATAATATTGTAATAACTATGTATGGTGCCAGGTGGGTACTAGACTTATCAGGGGGATTACTTCATGTTACATAAATGTCTAACTACTATAGTATAAACTTGAAACTAATATAATATGGAATGTCAACTATAATTTTAAAATTAAAAATAAAGTGTACAATTCTGTGGTTTTTAATATAATTCACAATGTGTACAAACAGCACCACTAACTCCAGAACATTTTCAACACCCAAAAATAAGCCCTGCACCCATTAGCAGTCACTTTCCATTTGGTCAATCTATGTTAAAGCACGTGTCAGTACTTCATTCTTTTTTTTATTGCTGAACAATAATCTATTATATGGATATAATACATCTTGTTTATCCATTTACCAGTCATCAGTTGATAGATGCCTGTGTTGTTTCAACTTTTCAGCCATTATAAACAAAGCTGCTATTCATGTACAAGTTTTCACGTGGATATGTTTTTATTTCTCTTGGGTTTATCCTAAGTAATGGAATTGCTGGATCACATGGTAATTCTATGTTAACATTTGACTGCCAAATTGATTCCAAACTGACTAAGCTTTTCAAATGTTACTGACCAGTTAGTTTTCCTCCACTGTAGAATGACTTCATGGCCTTTGCCTTTGTCTTTTGTCAGTTGGAGGAGTTCTTTATATGTTGGAAATGTCTAATTCTTTATCTGGCTTTTTACAATTATTTTCCAGTCTATTTCTTGTTGATTTTATTAATACTGTTTTCTATTGTTCTTATCATAAAACTTTACTCTAAATTTGTTTTCATATTTTAACCACAAAATAAATCATTGTCTTCAGTGTAGAATTTGTAAACAAATTTTACAATATGATACATGCTATCATTTTACGTTTGTAAAATGAACTAAACACTTCTCTTTGATTCCAATAATTGGATAAAAAATATTTGAATAATTGTTTTTTAAAGTTTATATATATATATATATATATATATATATAATACACACACACACACAAACAGGTTTATATTTTACTTTAAGGCATCTTCATTTCCTGTTTTGCTTCAACGTTAAAATTAATATGTTTGGTTTTTTTTAAGATAAAGATTTTATTGGGAAATTGGGGGAGGGAACAGCGTTGGGGAATCGGGGAAGGGGAACAGACAAGTTGCTGTCCTTTTTTTCTTCAGTCTAGTTATGGAGGACATCAATTCAGTGGCCCATGTTGGTATTGTGATCATTGCGCTCTTCCCGGCTGAGGCAGATTGGCTGCCAGCCATTGGACCGCTGCTTCCAGCAGCTCACGCTGGCTGCCGGTCACTCACAGTAGCTTACAGCAGCCCACTGCAGCCCCACTGCAGCCTACGCTGCCGCTGGTATCTCACAGCAGCCCAGCTCCAGGTCGAGCTGTTGTTCACCATCTTAGCTGTAGAGAGTGCAGCGTCACTGGCCCATGTGGGATCGGAACCAGTGGCCCTGCGGCTCAGAGCTCACGCTCCCAAGCCAACCCTTAAGCAACGAGCCACTCGCCCGGCCCAAACTTAATGTTCTCTTAAGTGTTCTTTTATTGGTCATTAAATTCCATTTTTTGTATGTATTGGGTTGTCAGAGAAGTCATGATGCACTTTTGCAACAAAAAACATAGAAAAATACGTCATGACTTTTCCGACAACTCAATAGTTTAAAGACAGGAGTCTTATTTTTTCTCCAGAAGAATAGACAGTTTCTGCTAGCACCATCGACTTTACACTAAGTTGAAATACTGCTCTTTCATATAGGTCCCCATATATTCAGATCACTTTTGGCAATTACCGTTTTTGTTTTGTTTTTTACTGTTCTATTTATATTCTCCTAGTTCAAACCACACACCTTTAATTAAAAAAGGTGTTTTAGTGATTCTGATGTCTGGAAAGTCAAGTATGCTTTTTTCCCCTTAATTTTCATGCCACACAGTTTTTTCAGTAGTCTCTTTATAACATATTTTAAAACATGGTCAAGTGAGTTACCTATAGTTAGTGTTAAGAAAAGATACTGAGGGCCAGCCAAGTGGCTCAGTTGGTTACAGCAAGAGCTCTGAGCAACAGGGTCGCCGGTTTGATTCCCACAAGAGCCAGTGAGCTGCGCTGGAGCTGAGCTGCCGCTGAGCTGGTGAGAGCACGTGCTCTTAACAACAAGGTTGCCAGTTCGACTCCCGCATGGGATGGTGGGCTGCACCCCACCCCAGATTGAAAGCAGCAACTGGACTTCGAGTTGCGGTGTGCCCTCACAACTAAGATTGAAGGACAACAACTTGACTTGGAGCTGATGGGTCCTGGAGAAACACGATGTTTCCCTTCCGCAGTTCCCCAACACTGTTCCCCCTCCCCAATTCCCCAATAAAATCTTAAAAAATATATAGAAAGACATTGATTTATATTACTACTTTTGTCATCATGCTGCAAGCTGGTGTTACAGAAGGATAAGGCAGTCCCTCCCGTTATCACAACCCTGATCAAGAGAGAAAAGACGCTGTTAGGCGTCCGTAAGAAGTTGAAATTGAGAACGGAAACGAAGATGGTCTGAGAAGAACACTATGATTTCTTACAGAGTAAGGTGGCCAGACCGCGGTATTGAAGTTGGCAACCGGGGTAGAGGAGGGTCGCCCGGCTCTGACCTATGGTACACCCCTGACGTAAGGGACAGATATAACAGAACCCACTGCCCACTCGCCCCTTCTCTTGAACTGCTCTGGATGCGTTCGTGGCTACTACGGCCACCTAAGGCCAACCTTCCGGTCCTAGAGACGACCCCTTCCGGTCTATCCCCATCCCCGTCCCAACCACCGCGCCTTGGCGTGTCCCATTGGCTATTTGGAGCCGAACTACATTTCCCAACAGGCTCTGGAATTAGCCCGTACCTGGAGTAGTGCCAGCCTGTTATGGAGGGCTGGGGCCCTCCGTCTGTTTTCCGTCTTCCCAGCGGAGTCACACAGAGAGTGGCTGCCACCAACCTGCCTCCCTCCCGCCCTAAGAGCTCCGCCGGCCAGCCTGGAGCCTCGCCTTCTCAAGCGCAGACTGCCCGCTCCGAACGGGGAGACCAGGCTATCGCACCGGAAACGAGGCACCGGGTGTGACGTCACAACTGCTAAGGTTCCCGGCCTCCCACAAGGCACCGCGTTCCTGCGGTGCTCGCTTTCTGTCGGCGGCTTGTGAGGACACTCACAAGGGCGAGGGGTGGGATTGGTCTCTCGCGCCTAGTTTCCCGGTCTGTGTCCAAGCCTGGGTCTCTGGGCAGCCCTCAGTGAGAGTCCGGGTGTGACAGAGCCTCCGAAAGGTAAGGTGCTCCGAGAGGGCGGGAACCAGGCTGAGGCGACCTCTGGGGAGCGGGGTGTGTTTCGTTGGTGGAGGACCATGGCGCGGATAGGGAACCAGGAGCGCGTGCCAGGCAATGCCCAGGCTGTTCCTTGCGGTCAAGGTAGCCCTTGACCTTTGGGAAAGGTTCTAGAGTAAGCCAGGCCCGGTGGGCCCCACTGGGGTGTCCCTTGCTGCCTTCAACAGGGCTTTCTCACCATAAAAGAAGAGTCAGCAGGCCACTTGTGGACACCTCATGCGGCCTTGCGTTTGCTCCTTGAGCTATGAACTGCCACGCCCACCGCCCCTCCCCCCCAAGGGCATCTGAGGGACCTGCTGTCAAATTCAATGGCCAAGTTAACTGACTTATAAGCAGATGCCCTCGGTATTGGGCCCCAGATTTCCTGGCTTCAAGCCCATTGTTCTTTCTACCAGCATGACTTAAACAGTTCTTCCCAGTGAAGTTTGCACTTAGTATTTCTCAGGAGCATGGCCTTTGGTCTTCTGCTGGCTGCCTTTGCTCCCTTCCATTTGACTCTTGAGGTTTGAACATCCTGTGGCTTTCATTCTCAGGATCTTCCTTTCAAGCCTTGTTAAGAGTATTCCACTCAGGGATCTTCCATTTTAGTTACGAGTTCCCTACACCAGCTTATCTTTCCCTTCTGACTTAGATCTCACTGCCCAAGCCACACTGGAGTTGTAGGCATGCCCTACCTTATCTTGTGGGTAACCCACAATTTCTCTTGTCTGCAGCTTTCTGACAGATTTCCTTCAGTAAGAGGTGGCTTTCCAAAGCTCTGCAGAAACGAGTGTGGTGTGTGATTCAAGGTACTATGGCAGCAAAAGTGTTTCCTATGTCCCCAAAGCCAAAGCAGTCCTTTATACTGAGAGTTCCTCCAAACTCCAAGCTGGGCCAAGACCTAATTCAAGATGCTACTAGTGGGCCCAAGACCATCCACCAGCTGGTTCTGGAGCACTTCCTCACCTTCTTGCCCAAGCCAGGCCTGGCCAAGCCCAGTAAGAAAGTAAAAGAGACCTTGGTTATCATGAAGGATGTGAGCTCAAACTTTCAGAACAGAGGTAAGAACACTCTTCTGTTTCACTAGAAGAGAAAGGGATGGGGGCTGAGTGATAGGCTTCCGTCCTATTAATGAATTCCAGTTAAGATGGTGGGTATTGAGAAAAGGAGTTGATTCTAGTAAATAAACATGTTGGGGAGAGTATGGTTTGTTGGGTGTCTGTAAGGCTATAAAATAAACAGTGTCAATTTTCTATTAACATGCTGGGGGGTTAGAGGATATCTTTTTAGGATAAATAAATGTGGCTGGATTATTGATTTCACTTTATGTGGAATTTTGGAAATTTTGTGCTTGTCATGGGCATCTTCAGACATTATCTTCCCCCAACCTCCCCTTTAGTAGAAATGGGAATTTTAAAAGGTACTTGGGGAATCATTCTTTTCATAATAAAGACACCCAATAAGGACACAGGTTCAAGAGCCTGTAGTTTATGGCTTGATCACTGACTGGGCTCACAGGAACAGAAAAGGCCATGAGCTGCCTGTGGAAGAAGTGAGGACACCCTGGCCTCAGGGTGTGGGTAGAATCTCCATATTAGAGTCACTGACTTTTCAGTTAACTACAGCTTTCTCTTTTTCCAGTGCATCCTCATCCCTTAGTGAAGCTTCAGACCAGAGAAGGAATCCAGCAGAAAGAGGAGACAGGGTTTCAGTGTTTGAAAGCTGAGCCTGAGGTGGGTTTGGTTTTCCCGTTCACTGTTTGAGTGCATCACCTTCTCTGCTCTTGCTGGCCTCCCCACTCAGCCAGTCTTTGTATAAAAACACACTTTGGGGAGTCAGCAAAGAGACTGGGCTTGTTCCTCATGCCTCCTTGGATGTTTTTCTTCTGCTTTTCCTCTGGCTCCTCTGAGCTTGGCTTGCCTGTCTGGCTGCATCTGTGTGGGACTTATAGATCCCTTCCCTGATCTTTGGGTCTCAGTCTTTCTGATCAGCAGGGCTGTCAAGGAACCTCTGTAACTAAGAGGAAGAGGGCCTGTTGCTCTTTCAGGAGTTGGTGGTCTTTGAGGATTTAAATGTATTTCACTCCAAAGAAGAATGTGTGAGCCTGGATCCTACTCAACAGCCCACCTCAGAGAAGGAAGAAGACAGTGTTGGGGAGATGATGTTATTAGGTAAGAAATCAAGTCTATTGTGTGTTCAGATTGAATGCTATGGGAAAAGCATGTTCTTCTATTTCTTTTTTTTTTTTAATTTAATTTTTTTTTATTGGGGAATTGGGGGATGGGAACAGACAAGTTGCTGTCATTTTGTTCTTCAGTCTAGTTGTGGAGGACGTCACTTCACTGGCCCAAGTTGGCACCATCATTGCGCTCTTCCCGGGCAAGGTAGATCAGTTGCCGGCTTTGGACGCCGCTCACAGTGGCTGCTGGCCGCTCATGCTGGCTGCTGGCTACGCACAGTAGCCCATGGCAACCCACTACAGCAGGGGCTGCAGCCTACGCCTGTTGATGGGGACTCACAGCAGCCCAGCTCCAGGTCGAGCTGTTATTCAGCATCTTAGCTGTAGAGGGCAGTGTCACCGGCCCTCATATGTGAGATCTGAACTGGGGCCCTCTGGCGTCCCAAGCCAGCTCTTAACCAACGCTCCACTCAGCCAGCCCCAAAATAATTTCACATTTTTTTTTTTTAATCCTGCTATCTGTTGGCAGCTCAGCAGCTGCTCAGCTCGGGCCGGGAATGGAACCGCTGTTGCTCAGAGCTCAAACTCTTGGGCGAGCTCTTAACCAACTGAGCCACTTGGCCAGCCCTGTTCTTCTATTTCATCTCAGACTTTTTCGAGACGCCATTCACACCAACTAAGCACATATTCACACACGTTTAGTTCTTGTCTTAGCCCATGTGGTAGAGCTGTAGGTGGCCATTTTCCCTTTATCTTGGGGGCATCAGGGCTGAGGGGACTTCTTTTGGTAAGCAAGACCTGCTGCTAATGTACTAACACCAAACATTTAAACAGATAGAAAATGTGGGCAGACTGTTTCTGAATCCATTTTCTGGATCCAGTGCTATTCTCACAACAGGTATATTTTAAATTAGTGTTTTCATTGGACACATGAAAAACTCTCTTAAGTCTTTTTTTCTTGATGTTCAATAGCTGCAAAGCCTACTAGTATAAGTGAAAATAGTATATCCCACTATTGATGAAAACAATATCTAGCACTTACTAAGCACTTGTGTGCCATTATGTGCTGGGCACTAGTCTTAAGTACTTTGCATACATTTATTATTTCATGTAATTCTCACAATAGTACTGTGGAGTATAGAGTTATTACTGTTTTACAGATGATGAAACTGCAAGCAGAGGAAAGTTAAGAAATTTTCTAAAGGTCACACAGCAGTAGGTAATGGAGCAGGGATTTGGGCTCTGGAGATCATAACAGCAGAGCTTGCAGTCTTGGCCCAGAGGTGCACTGCCTCCTTGCTGAATTTCTCATTATTTTGTCAGTGAATTTCCTATTATTTTGTCAGTGAATTTCCTGTATGGTTAGTGAATAGGGCCTTCTTCATTTGTACTCACTTCCCAGTAATGGTTAATAAGTGCCCTCAGTGCTACATGTGAACTTATCCGGCAGCAGCTTCTCCATAATCTGCTTAGAAATGCTTCAACTTTTCTTTAGAAGTATACTGTTGCCCTAAAGTCAGGCACTCTCAAAAATTGTTTTGCTGAGTGCCTAATACTTTTTACCTTGACTTCAGGGTTCTTTGCTTCTGAGGCTGAAGTTGAGCAGAGAGTGGGTTTTATGAGTTGTCTGCAGTGACAAAAATCTATGTCTTTTGAACTCTGTAGTTTTCTTGAACTATACAGTCAGGGTAGTGGTATACAGTAGGCTTGGTTAATTTCCCACAGATTATTCTGTTATATTTTCTTTATTTTAGGGAAAAGTATAAACAGATAAGATTTATTACAAAGTTTTTCCTGAGTCTTGGGCAAAGCTAGCATTTATTTTGAGTGACTGGTTGGTGGGTATGTGGCCAACTCCAGAAACCCTTGGGCCATGAACCTTGAGGCCCTGAGACCCAATGCTTACCCTCCCCTCCTCCTCCCTTGCCCATACCCTGAATCTGATCATTTAAGCTTAAGAGTCAAACAATAAACAGCAAACATAGACACATGATTTTTAAAAAAGTTTAGAGTCATTCACCAACATATAGTAAATGCCACTTGTTTTTTACTCAGGCAGGACTGGGTTCTGGAATTCATTAAAAAGATACAGATTGCTCAATTCCTACCCTCGAAGAGTTTCCAATTTGTTTTGTAAGATAAGTCATTCATATAAAAAGATAAGCAGTGTGAAACCACTATATCTATAAAGAGATATAATTAGATTGAGGCAGGATTTGAACCCAAGAGCAGAGTTTGGAAGAAGATGGATTTTATTTCCATAACAGGAAATAAAATGAGATTATCCTCTGGGCACTTGGACGTTGGGGATTGGAGGTCAGATGTAAGGATAAAAAGATGTGGGAGTCAGCATACAGCTGACAGTTAAAATAGTTAAAATTTGGTCAGTTTGCAAAGGAAAAGTATAAGGGAATAAACCTTGTGGGGGACAGAAATCAAAGGAGAGCCCTTGAAAGAGGATGACTGAATGTGTCTCTCAGTCCAAATGAACCACATAAAAACAACTGGAAATGTAGAACACTTAAATTCTCAGTGAGATACTCCTTATGGTTATATCTACTGTGGTAAGAATATACTTTTACAAGATTGATGTACACTGACTACATACTCTGCAACAAAGAAAGACTCAAGAGATTCCAAAGAGTAGAAATAACACAGTAGGATCTATAATAATATAGCTAGAAATTAAATAAGAAAAAAAAGTTCACCAGAAATTTAAAAAACTATTAAGTGACCTTGGGGCAAAGGGGAAATACAAATTAAAATTACATAATTTTTCTAGAAAACACTATGTATCAGAATCTATGCTATAATCTAAAGTGGTACTCAAGAAAATTCGTGGCTGTAAAAATATGTATGATAACTTAGAAGAATGAAAGTAATTAAGCCTCTGACTCAAAGTTAGGAAAACAGCAAATAAAGGAAAACAAAGTATTAGTAAATAGTAAACTAGAAAATCAATAAGTTAAAAAATAGAAAAAAAACCAGAGGAACTGATAAAAAGATTTTTTAAAATAGATAAAACCATTTTCCACTAAGGAAATTGAAATTGTCAAAAACTAGCCCCCACCCAAGAAAAAGGAACAGCCTTAGTTTCACAGGAAATTCTTATAAATCTTTTAAAACTAGATAATTAAAATGCTTTGAAAAATTCCAGAGTACAGAAAAAGAAAACTTCCAAATTCTTTTTATGAAATTAGTGTAAAAATAAATAGCACAACCTGATAAAAAAAAAAAAACTGCCATAACCGGGCCGGCCAAGTGGTGCCATGGTTAAGAACTGGCTTGGGACACCAGAGGGCCCTGGTTCGGATCCCACATAAGAGGGCCAGTGACACTGCCCTCCACAGCTAAGATGCTGAACAACAGCTCAACCTGGAGCTGGGCTGCCGTGAGTCCCCAGCAACGGGAGTAGGCTGCAGCCCCTGCGGCAGTGGGTTGCCATGGGCTACCGTGTGTGGCCGTCAGTCAGAGTGAGCGGCCGTCCAGAAGCTGGCAACTGATCTGCCTCGCCCAGGAAGAGCGCAATGATGGTGCCAAATTGGGCCAGTGAAGCAACGTCCTCCACAACTAGACTAAAAAACAAAACAACAGCAACTTGTCTGTTCCCCTTCCCCCAATTCCCCACCGCTGTTCCCATCCCCGCAATTCCCCAATTTAAAAAAAATCTAAAAAAAACCAAAACAAAAAAACAAAACTGCCATAACCAAATAAGATTTATTTCAGTAATGCAAAAATGATTTCATACTAGAAAGTCTATTATTATAACCCATCTTATAATAAAAAGGAGAAAAATCCTACAATCATTTTCATAGTTACTGAAAAGGTATTTGACAAAATACAAACCCCTTCTTCATAAGAACACTTAACAAAATAGTACTTAATGGATACTTCCCTAATGGGGTACTTGAGTAACTTTTCAGCTAGTATCATCTTAACGGGAAATATTTGGAGGCATTCCCACTTAAATTAGGAATACAACAATGAAGCCCACTATTGCTATTCTTGTATTTAATACTGTGTTCCAGGTATTAGCCAGTGCAGTTAAATAGAAAGAAATTAGATGTATAAGAATTGTGTAGCTAGAAAACTGTAGAGAATGTGTGAAAACTTATTACTACAAATAATAAGAGCATTCAGTATGGCAGTGGGATGTAAAATTATTACAGTATATGGAAATCATTAGCTTTCATATATGCAAATACAACCATTTAGAAGATATAAAATAGGAACAAAAAAGATTAAACACCTAGAAATAAACTTAAGAAATGTGCAAAAATTATGAGGAAAACTTTAAAACACTTCTAAAGGACACAGAAGTAGACTTGAATGAATGGAAAGAAATACCATGTTCTTGGCTAAGAAGATTTAACATAAAAAGGTTAGTTCTCCCCAAGTTGATTCATGAATTTAACATAATCCTTTATCAATATTCATAGGATTTTTTCCCATGGAGCTAGACAATCTGATAACAAATATAAATGGGAAAATAAATACAAGTAACCAGGAAACTAAAAAAAAAAAAAGCAGGGGGCGAGAGGGGTTCTAGTCCTTTCAGGTGTCATGATAATAAATCCTGTGTCATGAAAATAGTGTAGTATTAGCATGTGAGTAGACAGTCCAATGGAATGGAATAAAAAGTTCAGAAATAGCCTCAAACACACTAGGGATTTAGTTTGTGATAAAATTGGAATTTCTAGTCAGCAAGGTAAAAAGGAACTTTCTGATAAAAGGTGTCAGCACAACCCAGATTATAGCAACAGCACACATTTAAAATAATGTACAAACAAGGTTATTCATTGTGGCATTGTTTATAAAAACACAAGGTTAAAAGCAATCCAGGTGTCTCTGCAGGGTTGAATATGGTGTGTCCATACATCATACCATGTACTGGAATATAACAATTGAAATAAGAAGCAGAAATATACATCATATACTATCTTTTAAATAAGAAAGGGGGAGAAAAAAATGTATTGCCTAAAGAAACAATGG